GAGGGAAGCTCAAGGGAGGAACGCAAGAAACAAAGAGCAGAGTTAGGCAGTTTGCAATCATTGACGGTGCAACCACGGACGCGAGCTCGTTATGACAAAGCTTTGGAAGGCTTCTGGAGTTTTCTCCGAGAGGAAGGTAGAACCATTCCTTACAACCACGCCGAGCTCGATGTGCTTGTCCAGCACTACATCGAACATTTGTGGTCCGAGGGATTCGGTCGTGCGCAAGCTAGCGACACTGTTGCGGCTCTTCAAGACGTTCAACCTCAGGTGAAGGGACATCTACGAGGCACTTGGAGGTTGCTCAAGGCTTGGAGCATGAATGAGGTGCCCAACCGGGCACCGCCTCTTCCTGAAGAAGCACTTCACATGATGGTCGGGTACTCCTTTTTCAAAGAACAGTACAAATTTGGGCTGTCCCTCCTCGTGGGGTTCTACGGGACCTTGCGGACGGGAGAGATCCTCGGACTCTGTTCATCTGATGTCAGCCTGACCAGTGTGAGTGGCCCAGCTGTGATTTCTCTAGGACTGACCAAAGCTGGAAAGCGCCAAGGCGCTTCAGAGAGTGTTACCATGACGGTTGAAGAGCCCCTCCGTTGGCTCCATGCCTGGATAAGAGACTGTCCAGAGCGGGACCCCTTGTGTCCATCGCCTTCCAAGTGGCGACAACTGTTTAATGACGTGTTGCGCGCAACAGGTTTAGAGGCATTAGGCTTCCGACCGTATTCGCTCCGACGAGGGGGAGCGACCTTTTTCTTTCAAAAATGGGGTGTTCTAGATAGACTTCTAATTTACGGTAGGTGGCAGGCTGCAAAAACGGCACGCACCTACGTGAATAGTGGTTTAGCTGCACTGGCGGAGATGAACCTGCCTCGCACTCCTGCAAACAAACAGTTTAGGGCCATCTTTTTGAATTCAAAGAAACACCCTTTGCCGTCGCTTGGCCATACCCCGAGAGGGGGTAGGGCAGGGGGCGGTGGAAAGAGCTCCAGAAAGAGCTCGAAACACTCAACAAAGAGAACTAA